CAAAGCTCTACCACCTCACAAAATACATATACATACATAATACACACACACATATATATATACATGAATATATATTATATATATTCTGAGCATGGTGGCACACACCCTTAATTCCAGAACTAGGCAGGCAGAAGCAGGTGAGTTTATGTGAGCTTGAGGCTAGCCTGATCTACATGCCAAATTCCAAGATAGTAAATACTACGAAGTGAAACCTTGTCTCCAAAAATAAAGCCCATATCAGATAGCATAAAAATGGCTGCATGGCTGAAGGGCTGGAAAGGCCACATAACAGCTCACAACTATCTCTAGTTTCAGTGTATCCACTAGCTTCTTCTAGCCTCTAGACTCCTACCAAGCACCAAGTATATACACAAACATGTATATAGTCTACACACACACAGTATAAATAAGCCTTAAAAATCAAATGTTTGATGGAGATGGTGAGGTGTAAAGGCATTCATGCCAGTCTTAGGGCCAGACTTTAACCCAGGCGTTCACGTAAAGGTGAAAGGAGAGGACATATCCCAGAAAGCTGCCCTCCTACCTTCACGAACATTTGCTGCAGCAATGTGTGCAAATCACATTCACACACACACACATACACACTAATAAAGTAAGTACTTTAAAAGTGGTGGGTGAGGGAGTCACTGATCTCTGCAAACCACATAACTGGGACACCTCACAGTGCCCAGCTGTGTATTCTCAGATATGCTACCTAAAATTTCTGCTCGGCTAAATCTCAGGTTGCAGTGCAGCAGCCAGAGGAATAATCTAAAGCCCCAGGTAAAGTCTGCTATGGGCTTAGCAGTGAGAAGCAGAAGTAGATTTGTAAGGTCCATGCCCCTGCCTCAGCAGTTATTTGCAACACACACAACTTTTAAGAACTGGTTCTTTCCTTTTGCGTTGGGGGCCCCAGGTATTGAACTCAGGCTGGCTGACTTGAGGCAAATGCCTTTACTTGTTGAATGTCATTCTGGTCCCTCACCTTGAACTTCTGAGCCTCTGCCCTCCACAAGCTGGATATGCAGGCATGTTTGCCTGGTTTGAGTGGAGCTGGGAATCCATTCCAGGCTTTGTTGCATGCCAAGAAGCATTCTCCCATCAGAGCCACACACTATACCCTCAGGGTGGCCCCTGAATTCTTGGCTGAAAAGGTCTTCCATCACCTCCCCTGGAGCTGGGGAGGCAGTTGTGCACCATCAGGCCCAGTAGCCTTTCAATCTTCTAGAAAGATGGACACAGGCTGGGTGTAGTTCAGTGGCAGGGTGCTTGCCTCACACGGGAAAGGCCCTGGGCATCTTGAGTACAACAGGGTGAGGGAAAGGGTGTCTTAGAGAGGGGTCAGTGCTGACCTCCAATCAGCTGAGAGTGGCTGCCTACAGTCATCTGCTCAGAGTGCTCCAAAGCCACATCCAGGCTCTAAAGGAACACACCCTGTATTGATTATCCTGGACTTATTAACTTATTAGTAATGTTTGTCCTATGACACAACTGTCAGAGGTGAACACTACAAGATCTACATTCAAGTTCCTTAACGCCTTCCTTCCTTTTTTGTTTTTTGGGTTTTCGAGGCAGGGTTTCTCTGTGTAGCTTTGGAGCCTGTCCTGGAACTCACTCTGTAGATCAGGCTGACCTCAAACTCACAGAGATCAACCTGCCTCTGCCTCCCATGTGCTGGGATTAAAGGTGTGTCCCATCACACCTGGTTCAGGCTCCCTAATATTAATAGCCTGTGTTTTGAGACTCTGCTATCCTGTCCATTTGTTTTGTCTTTTTAGCACTGGAATTGAAGTTGGACCTCATTCATACTAGATAGGCACCCTGCCACCGAGCCTTATCCCCAGCTTTTTCAAGAGAAACTTGCAGAAATTCTCCCAACATAGAACTTAATAAAGGCCTTTTCTCCACAGGACTCGTGAGAAAACCTAGTCTTGGTGAAAGAGGGATTGCACCAGGTGAAGAGGCAGAACAGACTCATACAGATGCCTGCTCCACGACTGCAGACTTGAGCTTGATCCCCGCGTGGCGGAAGCACAGGAACAAATCCTGCAAGTTGTCCTCTGACCTCCTCACACATATAGACAAAGTTAAAAGTGTAACAAAAATTCAAATCTAGGACCAAAGAATGAAGAGGCCAATAATAATAACAGCCACTGTGTGTAGCTCTATGTGACCACTTGCTTAGCATGTTCAAGCCCCAGCATTATAAAAACAAACAAATAACATAAAAAACAAAACAAAAATAGCAAATTGAGACAGTGTGGTAGCCCACATCTGTGATTCCCAAGACCCTGAAATTTGATGCAGAATCAAACCTGTCTTAAAAACAAAAGTGAATAAAAAGACAACCAAACATCAGAAAAAGCAAAGCAATGCTGAATGCTTACTGTTCCAAGTATTACATTGGAACATAAAACATTGCACATGCTGGGCATGCCATGTCTTTAACCTTACATTCTAGTTTTTGTGGAGTCTGGATTTTGCTTTTGTTTCTTTTGAGACATTATGTAGCCTTAGCTGTCCTGGAACTCACTATGCAAACCAGGCTGGCTTCTGCCTCCCAAGTGCTGGGATTAAAGAGCCTGTGCCACCATGCCCAACTACATGTTTTTAGAGTCCCAGCACTATACAGAAAAGTGGCGATTATTCTTAGATAGGTCTGTGTGTGTGTGTGTGTGTGTGTGTGCTTATGTGTGTGTGTGTATGTGTGTGTTCCTGTGTGCCACTGCACCTGTGTGGAGGTCAGAGGACAACTTCTGGGCACTGGTTCTTTCCGTCTACCATGTGTGTCTTAGGGACGAAACCTAGGTTGGCACAGATGGTAACAAGCACCCACTGAGCCATATTGCCAGCTCCATGCCCAGCTTCACGTCAGCAACTGACCCCTGACTTACTGACCCCAGCTGCCCTCCCATCACACTGGGGAGTTCTAGGGTGTGGTAGCTCTGCAGAATTTGCTGCTAGCCTGCTCATCTCACCGCTTCTCTGTCCTCTCCGCTTGAGCTTAGCTGGGTAGGACCTGGTGTTCCTTTCACAGCTGAGACTACTGAGCCGCCTAAGCTGATAATGGGGATCGGATTGGCAGAAGCCACACTGGTTCTGTCCTGCAGTAAATGTGCAGCCTGGGTTAGTGGCACCTTAGCATCAGAAGGACCTTGAGGACTGGCCCAGGACTGATGAGATGAAGCCCCCCCCCCTTCTCTTTTCCACTGCCCCCTCCACACACAGCTGAGGTAAGGATTTGTCAAAAACACACCTAAAGCCACTTGCTCCTCAGACCCCCTTGGCCTCCAGTGGGGCCTCTGGGCTCCAGTCACAGGGACAGATGCCTGGGTACTGGTGACAATAGGGCATTGAGTGGCTATCTATGCAAGGCAAGTCAGGCCACCACGTGGTGCAGACTGAGCCTCCTGTTTCTGAGCCCTTTTCCTTCTACTTCTGCTAGGGGCCCTCACTGTTTCCATCCTCCTCACTTCCTTCTATTAGGGTCCCCTACCACCACCACCCACGGGAATTCCAGGACTTTAAGGGGCTCCAGACCCTGCTGTAACCTCTGACCACACCCTCTTCTCTTTTGCACATTCTTTTCAAGCAGAACAACAGAGGAGGGGAAGTCTAGGGGGGTGCTATACTATTACAAGGGTTCCGAGAGTCCCCAGAAGGCCACACTCCTGTTCTCAGACCTGAATAAACACCTTGAGGCCCAGAGATGGTAAAGAACCAGCCTGAGGTCACACAGCACGATGAGCCAGTCTTGGGAAGGCGTCGGGAAGGAGGTAGTCCTTTCTTAGAGCCAGGTAGGCTTGTCCCGGGGCCCAAGAGAGAGGAAGCCCAGGATAGACTACTGAGCTTCCCGACCCCCACTGTACTAGCCACGACTCGTAAAAAGAAGCCGGGGGACACACAGGGGGAGATCTCTGAAGAGTAGAAAAGGTAGGCTGGGCGCGGGGACCAGACAAAGGACGCGCGGCGGCGCGGGGAGCTAGTCGCTCAGGGAGGCGGGGGTGGAGCCAGGGTGCGGTGAGCACTGGCCAGCCCCGCCCCGGGACACGCCCGGGTTGCCGGGTGAAGGTCCGAGGGCTCGCTCCAGGCCAGGTCCTGGGGGCCTCGGGGCGGGGCCTGGATGGGCGTGACACGACAGGGCGTGGCACGCCGGGCGGGGCCGTGAGTTCGGGAGCTGACCAGCTCTGAGGCTGCTGAAAGCGACCGCGCGCCGGCCGAGCGGCGGAGTTGCGGGCGCGTTCAAGGTCACCCCGAGGCCCGGAGCCCTGGCCCGGGGGAGGGGGCGCGTGCAGCAGGCCCGATGGGATGCTGCTGCATCCCCTCACCCCCTCACCTAGAGACAGCGGCTGGGGAAAAGGAAGTCCCCCTCAACCCCCCCCCCAGCCCCGAGGCCCCGCGCGAGGCTGCGGCCCGCGAAGAAGGGCGGAGAGACAAAGGGACCACGGCGGTAGTAGCGAGGCCTCGGGGCGCCCCTCCTCTCCCCTCCCCGCTTGCCGCAAGGTCGACGGAACTCGAGGACGAAGATGCCCGCCTCTCGGGCGCGGCCGGGGGTAGTACGATCCGATGGCACCCCGCCTCTCCATCCCCCCCCCTCCTAAAAATAAGCTCTCGGAGAATGCCGTGTGGCCTCTGCCCGGACCAACAGAAGGCCATCCGGCCCGCGTCCCCCTGGGCGGCCTGCGAGTCTGGGCCTGGGATGCTGGAAACATCCTCCGCCGCCGCGGCCCCTCCCCCACAGCCTTCCAGAGAGGGGCCATCCCGACCCCGGGATAGTCGAGGGAACCCCGCACACAGCTGGGCTCGCCGGTCCTCTCAGACAAGGCTATGCTCCCCAGAACTACGGATGCGGCTCTACCCACTCTCAGGCCTGAGGCGCGGTCCTACCCCCCCCCCCCCGGCCTAGCTAGGCCTGGTCCTACCCCCCCACCGCGTCTCCGTGGAGCCAGACCCAGCCCCTCCCTCCCATGTTCGTCTCCCAGCGACAAGGGAGTACCTACAGTGACCATTCTTGTGTGCCCGGCAGGCGCGGTCCGTATCGAGGGCGGCTCCGGGGGTCGTGCACTCCTGGGGGGGCGCCGGGTGCTCACGCCGGGGTCCCGCCCGGGCGTCAGCCGCTGCGGACGCTGCAGAGGCGGGGATGGAGGCGGCGGCGCCCTCGAGGGCCGGGAACGGATCCGAGCCTGGGGATGCCGACGGCCGGGTCCCCGGCGGTAGATGGATGGAGGGAGCCGGCGCGCGGTGGAGGACGCCCAGTGCGCGGCCCCGCGAAGCCCGGAGAGGTCGCCCTTCTCTGTTTAAAATCTTGGCAGCTTTGCCTTCTGCGGTGGGCCCTCGGTCCGGCCTGTCCGGTGCCGAGTGTTGGGTACTCTCCTCTCTCTGCCTCTCGCCCGCCCTCCCTCCCACCCTCCAGCCCGCGCTGCGCGCTCCGCGCTCTGGGTCGCACCGCCGCCGCCCCCAGCCCTTTATAGCGGCAGCTGCCAGCGCCAGCGTCGCTCATTGGCTGGGACGGCGGGTCCCCGCCTCCTCCCGGCTCCCGACGGTGCGGCAGGTGGAAGCGAGTGCCAGCCGACCAGACTAGGCATGCATTTGCTGAGGCCTCACATTTTGGCTCCCTGGTGTTTGTGATCCCTGAGTCCTGTCTTGACACCGGTCTTGAGTACTCCTTTAGTTTGCCGACGAACTGGGTTCCCCCCTTTTGGCCCAGCTCCTAACTCTGAAGGGGTAACCCAGCCCCAAACACAACCAGAAGTCTGGAAAAGGACAAAGACCCAGACCCATGTGCTAGATCCAAGGTGAATAGATTTTTATCTCCACATGACCTGTGGTGATATTAGAAATAATACGAGGTATAGTGAGCCAGGAGGATCGCTGGTAGTTTCAGGATAGCATGGGCTACACAAGACTCTAAGCTGCCCTGGGTCACATAGCTAGCTCCAGGCTTTGTGTAATACTTAGGAAGATCTTGTCTTTTTTAAAAAACGAAGAAAAAGACAAGGAAGCAGAAATAAAAAAAAAAAATAGAAGGTAGGCAGAATGGCATATGCTTGTAAGGCCATCTTTGGGCGGTGGTGAGTCTGGGGGATCAGGAGTTCAAGGCCAGCCTGGGCTACATGAAAACCTTTCTCAAAAATAAAATAAAATAAAATAAAACAGAACAAAGGACAGATTGCTCAGCAGGAAAAAGAATCTTGCCGGGCATGCCTGGAAATATGATGTCTTTGTTGTTGTTGTTTTTTTTTTTCGAGGCAGTATTTTTCTGTTTAGTCTTGGCTATCCTGGAATTCGATTGATAGATCAGGGTGACCTTGAACTCAGAGATCCATCTGCTTCTCCCAAGTGCTGGGATTAAAGTCAATGCCACTATGCTTAAAGGTGGAAGGAGAAGGCCAACTCCACAAAGTTGTCCTCTTACCACACACACACACACACACACACACTAATAGTGATAATAACTTTTTTTTAAATGGGTTGGACAGGATATATGGTTCAGTTACTAGCATGCATGAAACCTGGGGTCCAGCCTTCACACCCTGTAAACTTGGCATGATGCTGAAAGCCTGGAATCCCAACACCTGAGATGCTGAGGTAAAGGGTCATAAGTTCAAGGTCATCATCAGCTATATAGTGAATTCCAGGCCAGCCTGAGCTACAGAGACCTCCTCTCAAAATGAACAACAAAACCCAAACAAGAGCAGCAACAGGAAAAAAAATAAGAAGAAGGAAGGAAGGTAGTAGAAGTGATTAAAAAGTTAGGGTGGTCTTACTATATCATCTGTGGAAGGAAACTAGACCTTGTGGGGTTTGAGTGCACCAAGTACTCTAGGGTTCAGAATGTGGGCACTGGCACCCTTCCTGGAAGGGAGACGACATGCTGAAGCAGGTGAAGAAGTTTGTGCTAAGGGTTCTAGACGATGGTTCACCATTAGAGTCATACAGCCTGAGAGACCATAGATAAGGTCTCCAAACTTGGGCAAGCACGCCTTGGCAGGCTTACTGGCTAATGACTGGCTTTCTGGGAGTGTTATTGGTGGTCCTGTGGAAGCACGCCTCTTTTTAAGAAGTTGGAGCATTACTACTTTAATGTTTACTACATTTCCTGGGACAAGGTGGTGGCTCGAGCAAGGCTTCAGCACCACAGACAGCGGTCTGACAAGGTGGAAAAGCACTGCTGGCTGGCCGCAGCCCAGATCCTCTAACCCAACCTCATCCTTTGTTTAAACAAAACAAAACTTTTTTTTTCTTTGTTTATTTGTATGTGTCACGGTGCATGTGTGTAGGTCAGAGAATGATTTTCAGGATTCAGGTCTCTTCTTCCACCATGTGGGTGGCCAGTCTCGGGGGACAGACGCCTATACCGTCTCCGCGGCCCTATTCTTGTACGCCCCTTCACGATCCGGCTTGTCAAAAGTGCGAATCAGCCTGATTTAACCAATCAGAAATGACTCTCAAAAGGCCCAATTGCAAGATGCCCTGGAGATTGAGCCAATGGGAGAGCACACGCCGAAGGTGCTGCCGCGCTAGAGAGGGCGGGCCAATCAGAGTGACCCACACAGAAGGGGCGGTGGCAGAGCAGGTTCCCCATTAGTTCCTCTGGGGTTTGTGGAGCAACTCGGCTGCCGGTGCAGGACCCCCTAACCCTACCCCAAACGTTGCCCCCCCACCCCCGCCCTGTCCCCGCGTTCCCTTCGGTTGGGAGTTAGTGTCTGCGGCTAGACTACTTTCCGGGGCAAAGGCCCCACAGCAGTTCCCATGGAAACCGCCTGCTCCTATTGCTCGAATAGAATGAGCTCTTGGAGCGCTTAGACCAGCCCCGCAATTCCGCACCACGCTTATGTAGCCCCGAGTCCCAAATGAGGATTGAGTCTTGTTGCCACCCCATCAGGACCAATCTGCGTGTGGTGCCACAGGACTCCCAGGGGCATGTGCCGGAGCTCGCTTGCTGTGCTTCCTCGGGTCACATGGCAACCACCCCGGGTCCACATAGCTCTCGCACCACCTGGTGGTGGCGCCTCCTTCCTTACGAATCTCCCTGAACGCTATGAGGCCAGATCCTGTTCCAGGAACACACCTAGCCATCCTCCCATAATGGGATCGATTCTCTTTGACACTCTGGCACAAGAGCAAAGTCACACTCTCAGGACACCCCCCCCCCTCCAAACCCAACTCATCACTTCATTCTCTGCCCAGTGCTTGTCTCCAGTGTAGATGTCTTATTTGGGTGTTCCCAAATGTGTGCTCTACAACAGTTTAGCTAATCCCACAGTCCTCTGGGCCAGGAATCAATATTCTGGGACATGAGAGGTGTGAGCATCGGGATTGTGGTCCCCTACATCCACCCTGTGGGCGCAGAGGCTAACAGGAAAGGTCCCTGTGTCCCTCAATCCACCCTCAACCCAGCCTTGATCAGGATGGGAGCAGGTTAATTGGTTACAAAGGGGTGCCAAGCCTCCACAATTATTCAGGCCTAGGGGAAGGGCATTTCCTTTTTCACTTTAATCTCATTCTGTGCTCTTGACACAGTAGAGCAGTGCAGTCCCAGGTGCCAGCTCCATGGGTGGGATGTGATGGGGCAGGGTAGGGCACCTGCCCGGGGGGGGGGGGGGAGCGGGGAACCCTCCTTCCGGCCTGCGGTTGGGGCAGCCCCAGTGGCTATCTTGGGCACGATGTCCAAGAGTACAAATAAATAGAGGCTAGGTCGGTGGGCATGGGCAGGTCAGGTGGGCTTGTGGTCCGGGTGGCTTTTGAGCGTGTGAAACTTGACGCTGTCCAGTTTCTCAAAGCGCTTTCCGCAGCGCTCGCATGTAAAGTTGTACTGCACCTCTGCTGTGTGCTTCTTCATGTGCCAGTTAAGCGATGCGCGCTGCCGGCACTGGTACCCACAAATCTCGCATCTGTGGGGTGGGAGGACAGCCCAGGGTCGGTCACCGAGGGCTAAGACTCCCCGGCAACCCACTCAGGACCCCTCCCTTCCGAGGACCCCAACACTTACTGCAGGGGTGTCTCTCCTGTATGTGTGCGCCGGTGCACCTCCAGATGGTTCTTCCTCTTGAAAGACTTGCCGCAGGTCTCACAAGTGAACTCTCGGACGCCTGGGGGTGGCAGCAGCCTCAGGACACTGCCCAGTAGAGGTGGCTTCGAGGAGCAAGGTCCCCCCACCCCACAACCCTGAGAACTTTGTCTGCTGGAGTCACGTCAGGTAAGAAAAGGGCTGCGGTTCCTGACACAACATGTGACCCATGTTTGGACTTGGGGAACTGCATATGGAAACCATTACCAGGTACAGGTGAGGATGTGGGGTTTCATGTGCAGCCCAGGCCTCCTGGGCGCTGGGATTTACATATGTGCGCCAGCGGGCAGGGCCTGACCTGAGTGGATGATCATGTGGCGCCGCAGGTGGTTGGATAAATAAAACTTCTTGCCACAGCCAGGGTGAGGGCACACTTTGGTCTTCCCTTTTCGGTGCACCAGGTTGACATGGTTCTAGAGGTAAGAGGGGCAGAAGTGGGTACCATGGGCCTACCTGGGCATTCATAAAGTGGGAAGACATGCAGGTAGCCAGGGCATTAGCCATAGTCAGCCTAGTCTGGAAAGAGGAAGAGGTACTCCAGTATCCAGCTTGGACAGGAGCACCCCAGGGGCACCCCAACTCTGGGTTCCAGTTAACCTTGGTAGGCTCCTGCTGTTAGCCCAACACACACAAGAGGAAACTGAGGCTTCAGAGACACAATGTTTGGCTGATGCCTCTCAGGTGCTGTACTGCCCTGGGGGACTTGACTCATTTTTGTTTCCTGTTATCTAATTCTTTAACCATGAGAATAGCCTGGGTGCTTATTACATGCTCAGCAAATTCATCTGCTGATGCCGTGTTCTATGAGGAGAGATGAGGAGACCCTTGTCTGCCCCTGGGGTACATCATCCACACTACAGAAGACAAAGTACAAGAGTTCTAGTTGGGTAAGGATCTGCATGGCTGGCCCCTGGGACTTGGGTGGTCTTCCTGTGGAAGACCAAGAGAGTGGTCTAGGGTGCTGGTCAGACCAGGTGGCTGTGTCTGTGGTGTCTGCAGAGAAAGACAGACAGACAGAGAGGGGGGGGCGAGGAAGCCAGATGTTCAGCAAGGCCGGCTGGGATGAAATGGGCTCATGGATGCAGGCCCTGTACCACTGACAACCAGTAGAATCTGCC